GGACCGCGGGAGGGGCGGCCCTCCTCCACCTTCACTAAGGCACAACCTGGCATTGTATGCAATTTAGTACTTCAGAGTAAAAACTGCATGCCCAATGTTATGCAAAGCGATTCTAGCATGAAATAAATTTTGTATCATGGTTTCTGTATAGTCTAAAGCAGATTTGTTTTCCTGAAGCAATCGGAGGTTTGCAGAGACACACTTCTGCATCTCAAATAAATATAGTATTTTCCCAACAGAAACAGAGGACAGTAGCTTGGCTTTGGTCTGATTCTAAAATTAGTGGTGGGGGGTAGGGTGGGGAAGGATGATATTTTTGAAAAACACATGCTTGAGTTGGAAAAAAAAAAATGCAACATCTCGAGCCTTCACTGCAGCTCGCAACATTTCCTGGAAAGAGAGCAATCCTGCTTTAGCTCAACAACCTGCCCTCCCTGGGCTCTGGCCCTCGATAATAAAAAGCTGACTTTTGAGATGAAGCATGGACTTGGGTCTTTATTGCTGCAGGCAGTGTCGCCACTTGGTTCTGGGCCTCTGGTCGGCCTGCGGCCAGGCTGAGGGAAGCCTGTGCCCGGCTCCCCTGCTCACAAGGACTTGAGCAAGGGGCTGGCAGGCTAATAGACAGGAAAGTCAGGCTCTGAGGAAGAAGGTGCCCTCTGGCACCCGCCCCCCAGCTACAGATCTTGCTTCAAGATGCAAGGGAGGCAGCTCTCAGAAGAAATAGGGCATAGTGAGACCTTACCCAAGACAAGCACATCCTCTAGAAGTTTCACTAACTAGAAACTTCTCTGAGAGTCCTTCCATGGTGATGACTGCACCTGGCCATGTCAGGGTCCCCTTTCCCTGACGTCATCACCTTCTTCTCTAAGCTGTTCTTGAATCTGATGGCCAGAGGCAGGGACTCTGATGGAGTCTGATGACAGGTTTGCACCCTCACTGGGCTCACCTGGGGGACCCCCTCAGGCATACCCCTCACACAGGCCAGTGGCATCTTGGAGGGGCTGGGGTTCTCTTGATTTGCTTGTCATTCACTTGGTTTGAGTGGCAGAGTGCTGGGTTGGGTTTCCAATTCTTGTCTTACACATTAAAAAATCCAGGAATGTTCTGGAGAAAAATCCCTAACTTAGGTCATGGTGGACAAGGTCTGATGGTGGGAGGCTGAAAGTGGGTGCCCAGTTCTCACCTGAAAGTTTCTGGTTCCCTCTAAGCATTTGCCTCAACTTCCTCCTGTGCAATTAGAGCATCATGGGGTGAGGGTTGAGGGTGAGTTCAGTAAGAACTATGCCTGAGGGTTAGGCAAAGGCTGACAGGTCCATATTAGATGTGTCCTACCCTGTACGTGTCAGGGTGCAGCAGCCAAGCAACCTCTACTCAGGGTCCACCCTGGAGAAGGCGCCACTGGAATTGAATGAGACTCATAGCGAAGCCATTTAGAATCTGGGTTTTCTGGGACCCAGTAGCTGGTGGGAAAAGGGAGTAACATCTATCTAGCATCTGTGAGGTTTTGTCTGATGAACCTCACAATAATTAAACATGCTTTTTTAGAGGCAAGAGAACAAAGCACAGAAAGGTAGAGTAACCTGCCTGAGGTCACACAGCCAATGAATAAAGAGCCAAGATTTTAACCAAGGTCTGTCTCCAGAGCTCAAGCTAAGTTGTCTCAAGCGGAGTGAGGGCTTCCTGGCCGGAGGTGGAACTGACAGGAACGTTAGGGTGGCTGGTCTGGAATCCCAGCGCCCTGCCTTCCTTCATCACATAAGGAATCGCTTCACGGGCTGCTCCGAGCCTTCCACACACACCCCTGACTATGTTGCTCCCCTGCTAAGCACCCCATTGCCCTCAGAATGCACTTGAAGCAGCTTCAGTGAGCTCACAGGCCTGCAGCCTCTCCTCTTCCTGCTCCCCTCTCTGGGTGTGACTCTGAAATCTGAAAGTGCAGACAGTGCACATACCCTCATGGGACCCAGAAGCCCTTTCTGCTGACCCTGCACGCCCACCATTGCTAACTCCAATCTCAATGTGCCCTAAGGCAGTTCGTCCAGAAGCAGTAGCTGCTGGAGGCCTAGTGGGCAGTGCCCCTCTGAGCTGATTCACATCCCCTCCCAACCCCAGTGGGACCAAAGGTGGTGGGGTGTCAGGGAGAGGTGGGTGCCTGCAATCAGGAAGGGGGAGTGTAGTGGGTTAGGATGTGAGCAACCCACCACCTACTACCTTAAAAATTACTCTGCAGACCAGGACAAGACCTGTGGGCACCTGTAAGAGGGGGTTCTGCACCCCCCCATCTTGTCCTCTTCTTCTTCCTCACATGGGAGGACTATGAAGACCAATTTTCTTGTTCAAAAAAAAAGTAATTTCTAACACTGAGTTGGTCTGTCTCAAGTTGGTTCCTGTGGCTCAGTGGCTAACCACATGGATGATACTGATAATTGACCCGTGGTTATAATAGTCATGGAAGAGCTAGCAAACATCTGCAAGAGGTTACGCAACAGCACAGGATAGGTGGGGGTCAAGGGGCCACGGAGTCCACTTATTCAGCCTCCCTACTATATGGGGACTCAAAGATGTGCGACAGGTTCATTTATAGGGCGCATTTATAGGGTGCTTCCTCAGAATCGGGACCTCTCCTTGATGAAGGGCTTTTAGAATTAGCCAAGACCTGGTCTTTTGCTGTCAAAGGGCCCAGGATCCAGTAGGAGTCATGGCTTAGACACTTGCAAGTCTGATATGACCAAAAGGAGCCAAAGGATCCAGACAAAAAGCCTGGGAGGCGGCATCAACAACCCCTTACCCTCTGGAGTTTTCAGGTACTTAGCGGAGCCAGTGACCCGATCTGCCGCTCTCAGGAAGGGTAAATGGAAGTGCTCAGGGCCATGGGATGGTCTTCAGTGTCACCTAATGCTGGAGCCATTCATTCTTCCACATGTGGATTATCTGCTTCCAAGAAGAGCATAACTCAGCTTCTGAGGGTGGGTCTGATGCTCAGGGCTCGTGTATACCTGGCCCTGATTCAGGCTGGGAAGGAAACTGAGACACCTCTTTCTTGTCCTCAGGAGAGGTGTTTGGGCACTGCAGCAGAGGACTTGGCCTTGGGTTTCTCCCATCAGGTGGTGGGAGGTGGACAGCGCTCAGCACTGCCATGCTTGAGAGTGAGCCAGTGTGTTTGCTGGTGAGTGGAAACCCTGTTGAGGATGTAGTGCAACAGGGACTGCTTTCTGACCTGTGTTTGGTGCAAAACTCCCAGCCCAGCGCGTGGGACAGTGGTCAATGGCAGGGGGCTTACTCCAGGACAGGTCACCTCTGGGCAGCTGAGGGCTCTGTCTTTGTGAACTTGGTTATCTTGGCAAGATGAACTCAGAATGCATGGAGATGTCTTCCCTTCCATTCCAGAAGCCTCTGGAGGCTTCACTGGCCTCTACTGGTTCTGGGAGGCCAGGGCAGTGGCGTGTGTAGCTGGACTCCACACACCGCAGTCCACAGTGGTCAGTGGTCTTGAAGTTCATGCCTCAGGATTATCTTCACCCCTACTCTCCTGAGCTGAATGCATCCCAGATCCCAGGACTCCCTCCTAGGCCTTTGTGTCCGGTTCAAAGCTATCGAGGGGTCACCTCCCAATCAGGGCCCTGGGCCAGGAGTGAGGTGTATGGCCTTGAGTGGTCCCCGCCCCTTTTAGGATCTATTTTCCCAGATGAACAATGAAAAGGCTGGATAAGATCAGTGGGTTGGCTGTTTTTTGTGTTTATTGTTCATTTTTCTTTCTTTTGAATTGAGGTTAACACTGGTTTACAACAGTGTCTATGAATCTGAGGTATAGGACCACACCTCCACACAGCATGTACCACACCACAACCCCCACCACCAGGGATCAGTGGTTTGTAAATCTTCTCAAGGATCCCTTGTCAAGTGAAGTCCCGTGTGAAGTCCACACATACTACAGGTTAAAATAAAGCCACAGTGAGTGAGTGGAGGGTGGGACCTGAACTTCTGCCTAATGGCCTTCACATTACCCGTTTACCCACCACCCACAAGGCAGCCATTCACAAGATTTCTGGGGCTCTAATGGATGCAGTTTGAAGGCTTCTGGGCTAATGATTATTACATGCCCTGGGCTCTTCTGACTTCCTAAAGCTATTGGAGTCTAGACCTCACAGACCCTAACCCTCTCCTGGGCCTCCAGGGTTAGGTGGGGTGGGATGGCCACAAACTGGCTAGCTAGTTGCTGACCCACCAGGGCACCCACCACACAGGCCCTTGGGGAGAGTCGCTCTCTGAGGCCGTCCAGTCTCTGCAGAGAGAAAGGTGCTATGTCCCCAAGAGCCATGACTGCCACCCAGCAAAGCTTGGGGCTCAGGGTTCTGGCTGGCCCCCATCTTACCCCAAGGGCCCCCTTCTGCAGTCTCCAGCCTGGGCAGAGGTCCCAGGCCTGCCCCTCCCGCAACTGCACCACATGGCAGCCTCAGCTCCAGACTCCTGCTGGGCTCAGACAAAGACATCAGTCTTCTCAGAGCTTCACTCGTTCTAGATTCCTTTGAGAAGTCTTATCTCATCCTCCACTTTCTCATTCTGCCTTCGTCTACCCCCACCCCGGGGTCTTCTCCCTTAGTCCTGTCACCCAGATAAAAACCTTCCTCCAAGTCTCCAGGTCATCTGTTCAGGGCACCTCCATGCTTTTGGGAATAAACCCCTGGAGAGGCCCATGGCTGCCCCAGGCGTGGCCTCGGAACCCTTGTCTTGCTGAATCAAGGCTGCTAGACCAACGCAGCCACTGGTGTGGCTAGGTTTTCTGTGCCCACCGCAAGGATAGGCTGGTGCTGCTGCTGCGTCTGCTTTCCATCCTCTCATAGGGGCTTAACCCTCATTGTCATCTGTCAGGTCAAAGGGATGTTTGTGGCCTTGACCCCAGAGACTACCTGAGTGGCTGTCCCTCCTCCAGGCCTGGCAGTGCCTCCTGAGCCCTTCTCAGGTCAAGCCCGCAAGTGGACAAAGTGATTCTCTGGGAACACTTTGGGTGGTGAAGAGACTTTATTAATGGGTCTCCGTCATAAGCCCCCCATCCCTGCACCTGTCAGGTTGGTTTTGAGTAGAAGTTTCTGGTTCTTTCCTTCCAGTTTCTCTCTCTATCATGGCTTCCCGAGATTCAGTGTCCTGGGTGGCGTCGAAGGAAGGGCAGACCTGGGGCCCTCGTCCCTTGCAGAGGGAACTGGCAGTTGGCAGAGAGCCAGGGAGTGGCCGGCTCCACAGCCCACGAGGAGTCCCGATGCCCACCGCAGAGCCTGCACAGGTTTCGGGGTACAGACACTGGCTTCGGTGCCGTCACCGCACATGCCATGCTCATTCCAGCCCCAGGAGTAGCAGGCGCCACCTGTGAAGGAGAAGGAGGATGGTCACAGAAATGGCGCTGGGTCACAGGGCACCCGGGGTGCCAGCACCATCACACACATGAAGAAACCGCAGCTCAGAGGCGCCTGCTGGCAAGGCCCTTCTGAGTCCGCCTGTGTCTCAGTTTCTCCGTCCCACCAACCGGACCACCCCAAACCTGGCTTCTTTCCTTCGTCCTTCCTGCACGGTCACCAGCTCCCTCTCCTCCCCCAACACACATATAACCCAAGACCTGCCAACTCTGCCTCCAAAAATATCGCACAGCCTTCCACACCCCTCGCTCTCCACGGCCATCTCCTGACCCCGACGCCACAGTCAGTCTCTCATCTGGGCCACAGCAATGGCCAACTCACTGGGCTGCTCACTGGCCCCTGGAACTTCAAGGAGTAGCAAGGCTGCTCTGGAGATGGCAAATCTAATCACATCCCTTCCCTGCCCGAAAACCCGTCCTTGACCTTTCAGCATCCTCCAGGGGGACTTTCCTTCACCCATCAGCCAGCCCAGCATCATCTGGCTCCTGACCATCTTACTGGCTCCCTCCTTCCTCTCCCCACCAACCCACTGAGTTCCAACCTCCCCCTTTTCCATTTCCATAAATATCCTGTGGGGCCTCCTTTTTCTGAACTGGGCTCTAGACCTCATTTACATTTCATTCTGAAATAGAGTACCTGGCCACCTCATCCAAGTTAGATTCTTTCATGGCTCTTTTTTTTTTTTTTTAAAGTAACATTGCATTAATATAAGTTTTAGGGGTGCATCACTATAAACCAACATGCAGCTACTACTTAAGTTCACCAGTGGAAGTCCAAGTCTACCCTTCACCCTACAAAAGACCCCCTTAACTCGGTTTACTCACCCCTCTCCCTCCTTCCTTCCTGGTAACCACTAATTTGGTCTTCCAGCCTTGAAGTTTATTTTTCCAACTTAGAGTCTTCTTATTGCCCTGTATGTCCCCTCCTGGGGGCCTCGCACTCGGCGTCGGAAAGATGACTCTTGTGGCAGGGTGTTTACTATCCCCTCCCACGAGACTATCCACTCTACAGGGAAGAAGAGCCACGGATGTTGGGTTCAATGCTATCTCTATCTAGCAAGGTGCCCGGCTCACCCAGGGGCCCAGTAAGGGTTTGCCAGCGAGACAACAGCTGAAAGCCAGAGTGCCCAGGTCTCGGACGCTCCTGCCGTAACACATCTCCTCCTCCTATGCTTTGGCCTCTAACTCGCTGCCATTTTTCCTGTTGTTGTTTTAAAAATACATTTTCTGGAGATAAAAGTCATGCATCCTCACTGCAAGAGGTAAACATGGAAAATATGGATGGGTGTAAAGAAGAGCAGACTTCTAGAGTCTGGCCACTGCTACAAATATTTTAGATAGCTGTTTCAAACTCCTTTTTGTGAAATTTGCAAATGTTTCTGTCTACCCTGTCATGCCTTTACCCTTTAACATTATAACACAACCATTTCTCCATGGAATTAAGAATTACTCAAAAGATAAGCTAAAAATAATTTTTCTGAAATTTTGAAATAGCACAATACGCAGAAAAGTACAAAAGTAATTTAACAGAAAGTAAAGTATCCCCATTCAGACTGAGAACTGTCACGAGCATTTTGCCATATTTGCTTCAACTTCTCTTTAAGAAATTAACCAATCTTAAAGATACCGTGTCAGCCCCAGCTCCAATTCTTACCCTCCCCTTATCCCCTTTGAAAAGGAGAATGTGAAGCAGGGACATTATTTGCCTGCTTGTTTTATGTCTTCTACATGTATATACTGTGTCCTGAAATACTACATACTATTTTAGTTGGTTTTAAAGATTTTACATACCCTATCATTCAATCTATTTTTCTGTTACCTGCTCGCTATACTCAGCATTGTTTTAAATTTATCTGAGCTGATCGTCACACATCTAGTCCATTTATTTCAACTGTGCACAGTACCCTATTACATATAGGTCATATTTTACTTATCCCAGTCCTTCTGATGGACAGTCCCCTGATGGTAACTGTGGCTGTTTTATTCCACTAACTAGTGTACAAAAATACACAGCAGTCATCCTAACAGTGTTGCTGTTATAAACAAACAGCACTGCAATGAACACCCTTGCTTATCCTTGATGTTTGCATAGTGCTGACTCCTAGAAGTGTGAGTGTGGTGGAATCACATGTTTAATTTTACTAATTATGACCAGCTAGCTCGCCACAATGGCCACAGCCATTAATAGTGCCATCAACAATGAAGTGAATGCGTCTCCCTCCATCTTTGCCTTCTAGACTTGCAATTCTGATAAGTAGATTCAATGAATCTGCATGTGCCTGACTACCAGCCTGGAGCATTGCTTTATACTTATTAACCCGATGTTGCTCCTTTTACATGAGTTGCCTGTGTTTGGGTCTAGTCTTTGCCCGGTTTTTGTTTTTTTGTTCCTTGGTTGTTTGCCTTTTTCTTATTGAGATGTAAGTTTTCTTTGTATACTCTGTTTATGTAATTCTTTGTTGTTATACAGCTTGCAAGTGTCTTCTCCCAGCAGTCTGTAGTGTATCTCCTCACTCTGTCTTTTGTTATACAGATTTATTTAAAATGACTGTCTAATTGCCTATTATGGAGATCAAACAATTCATTTAACCTGTATAGCACTATCAGCCACAGAGCTTGTCTCTAATTTTTCATTATTTTGTATAACACTGCTATAAAAATCTTTATGTGAATCTGTCCATCCCTGATTATCTTCTCAAATTAGATTCTTTGAATGGGAATTCCAGGTCAAAGGGCTCAGACATTTTTGAAATGCCTCAGCACTGCCAAGATACTATTCATAAAGGCCACATGAATATCACTACGGCAATTTGTGGGAGTTTCTAGTTCACTCCAGCACTGCCAGTATTTATTAGTTATTATAGTGTTTAGAAACATTTCCTAACTTGCATACAAAAATGGTACCTCATTCTGTTAAGTTTTGCAGTTTGCAGTTTCTTTGACTACTACTGAAATTGAAAATTAACTGCCACGTTACTGAGATGCTTGTATTTCCTCTTTTGTGTGTCACCTGCTTCGGCGTCTTCTATTTCATGCAGAAGAGTTTAAGTGCTCAGACCCCAGCTTCCATTTACTAGCTGAGTGACCTTGAGCAGGTAACTTAGCGTCTCTGTGCCTCGGTTCCCTCATCTGTTAAATGAGGATAATAATAGTACTTTTATCATAAGATGTTTACAAGAATTAAATGAATATGTATAAAATACTTAAAATGGTCCGTGGTACAAAGTACCAGCTATGTATATATTTGTGATTGTTATTAAGACTTACTGTTTTAAAGATGTTTATTTTAAGGACATGATTTCTCCGCCATAAGTATATTTTCTCAGTTTGAATTAAAACTTTGGGCCTTTTTATAAAAAACAAGGATATGGTCTGTGGGTACAATTTATTTATCTTTCATCTTAATTTCTTCCATTGCTTGTAAGAAGTGAAAGCCTATCCTCATCCAGATCGGAAATTGTCCATTTGGACTTTTCAGCGACTTGTACTTTTATTAATCTTTTCATTTTACCTGTAATCAACTGAAGGTTTGTCTTACAGACCACCCTGCTACAGAGGGAGGCTGGCTGTCCAGGCTTAGCCCTCCCTCACCTGTTCCCATGTGGGAAAGCAGTCCCTGGCCAAAAGCTTAGGTTCAGGGAATCACAGCCGTCTGCATGTCGGACTCGTAAGAAAATGTACACAGAAAGGACGAGTCCCAGGCCACAGTGTCCACGGTGGGCAGGAGTCCCTGCCAGCTGAGCTGAGACCTGAGGCAGGAGAGGTGTGGTGCCCCAAGGCCTGGTTCAGCGCCTGGCCTGGGCTCGGTGCCGGGTCTCGGTGAGCCGCACCAGCTGACAGTCAGCAGGAATGGGGGCGGGAGGAAGGCAGAGCTGACCTACCAGCAGGACGTGGCAGGATGGGCAGCTGGCAGGTCCCTTCCCTCCTGCCAAAGGAAACACGCTCTGAGGAAGCCACGCTCGGGGCCGGGGTAACCAGAGGCCTGGAGCCAGGCTGTCTTACCCACTGGGCTGAGAAGCCTGGCAACAGCCCAGAAATCTCTTCCCCTAATACTTCCAAAGAAGCTTACTTGAGATGAGATGCTTTACGTTCTCTAGCTCATTTAAACTCAACAACCCTGAGAGGAAGTGCTGTTTTAGAGATTATTCCCATTTTACTGATGATGTAACTGAAGCTCTAGAAGCTGGCCAGGAAGTATGGCTTCAGAACTGGTACTAACACTACATTTTGTAGACCAGGGCTTGATAAATTGAGTCCATAGAGGCAGACGGGACACAGCTGGGTTTGAGGGCCTTCTTCTGTCGCTGTCACATAGTCTTCTTTACATTACAACCCATTACAAATCACTCAACTTGCAAGGTCATACAAAAGAGACCAAGAGGCAGATTTGGCCGTGCTTGTGTTTATATAGTAGACTGTGCCCTGTGGGTGCTGCTGTCCTGTCCTAGGGCCCATGTTACCACACAGCTGCATGAAAATGTCTGAGGTCCCCCTTTACCCCTCAGGGTTGCTAGGAGGAGGATGGCATTACTTGGTACATACATACATGTGCACACATATGTATGCATGTTATAAGTATGTACACATGTATAAAATGCCCACTGAGGTGCCAGTTCATATCCATGCTTGAAGCAGACCACAGGAAGAGGAGGAAGGGGCAAGAAGACCATTCTGATGGCAAATAGCACAGAGTGGAGGGAGGGGCATGGCCAGATGGGAAGGTCTCTGGTGGAATGGCAAGAAGTTTAGGGTCCCTGAGCCCCTTAAACAGAACTCTTAAAACCAGGCTGCTGAAGCCGGAAAGTGAAAGATTGGCTCTGCCCTCAACAGAAGGACTGGCAGCAGGACACCTTTACAAAGCTCTTCCAGCAATTCAGAAGAGATTTCACAACCTCCCCCTTGCAACCTCACTTAGGGTCACTCTTTTTTAGGGGTACCGTGAAGATGGGAAG